TGGTTTAAGTGCGGTATACATTATGTCAGCGATATTTGTAATGAAAATGGATTTCTCAGTTTTGAAGATGTAAAACAGAGGTACAAAATAAGCGGAACCTTCTTAGACTATCATCATTTGTTAAATAACATTCCAATGAACTGGAGACAACTTGTAGGAAACAGAACTCTCTGCTTAAATCAATTAAATATTAATAGTGTTTACCTAGATATGATCTCAAATATTAAAGGTTCAAGGATATTCTATGATAAATTGATTAAGAACAACGATACCCCTAAAGTACTAGAGTATTGGAAAACTGTCTTTCAGCAGGATATAATGTGGAGTAATGTATTCAGATATTACAGGAAATACACAAATGATTGTAAGCTGTTAGATTTTCAGTACAGATTTATTTACAGAATAATCTATACAAAGAAAGAACTATTGAAGATGAAGCTAGTTGATAATGATACTTGTACTTTTTGTCAAAATACCTCAAAAGACATATTGCATGTATTTTTTTACTGTGATTTAGTTAAAAACTTTTGGCGAAATGTAGAACAATTTCTAAATGCCCACCTCCAGTGTGATGTCACATTTACAAAATTCACTATCATGTTTGGAATGTTCTCAAACAATAAAATACTAAACCATATTATACTTCTTGCCAAAAGATTCATTTATGTTTCAAGTATAAGACAACAAACACTTTTCCTTGAGGGATTTCTTAAGTTATTAAAGATATATATACAACTGAAAGATATATAGCTAGGAAAAACAATAGCTTACATCCATTTATAAGGAAATGGAAACATTTATATACCTTACTATGTGCTAAACATTAAATTCTACTTATAATATCAGCTGAGACGTCCAGACCCTACTCACTACAACCATACTATTCAACCTTACCCCTCCAATTTCATATTCCCTCCACAAAGGCAATATTTCAGCCGTGAAGAGAACAATCTATATATTTAACCTAAACAAGTCTGCACCATAAAAACCTGTCAAATGACAGTAAAACCGTCAGTGTATCACAGATTTGGATGAATACCAGCATGTTATAATAAAGGTATCACCAGTTATGGGCTTTATGATTTAAACAGTATTTTATTTCCATTAATGTTTACATTTTTCATAATACACGACATAACAAAATGGAAATAGGATTAGCAAACAGGCCATATGGCCTATGTCAATGCTTCTCCGCATATAGTTCGTTATTATCTTGACTTAATTCTATGGAGCAGACATTAGGACATTAATGAATGAATCAAAACAAAATAAAAATAAATAAAATAAAATAAAGAACAAGATACCAAGTGCATTTTATGTTTATAGGTTGTTATTTGAATTCCGTAAAGCGGTTAGTTCAGTTATATTATTCTGAACGGATTTTATAAGGTTTTCATTGTCTTAAGGAGATAAATCGTCATTGCCGTGAAGTATAGTATATATGCTGAGGTGGTTAAGGACAAAGTATTTGTCGAGTCTAAACTGGGCATAGCGGGGACATGACAGAAACAAATGGATAACATCTTCTCTGTTATGGCCACATGAACAAGTGGGATCATCAATCAGGAATCTGTCAAATAAGTGTGCTTTTAAATCACTACAACCTAGCCTAATTCTGGATAGGATCATTTGGTATTGTCGCTGGCCATAACTAGCAATGTATATAAAATTTGAAGAAATCTGAATGTCTGTGGAAATCAATTGTTTAAACCTAGATAGGGAATCTACATTTCTGATATTGATATCAAGTGCATTCCATGCTTTAACAACAGAAGGCAGGAAAGATCGGTTATACTGGGATAAGCGCCCTGAATTTGTCTGAAAGTCGTTGGAGTTACGAAGGTTGTATCCTGTTATGTTGGAGATACTAGGTGGGACCCATAATGATAGGTATTTAGGAGTCAGCCCATTGACCATTTTGTAATATACTGAGTCAAAAAAGAAACTTCACAAAATGTAATTTTTAAAAATAATTAAAAACATTCTCTGATGATACATCTATGTATTCGAAATGGGATCCCTATCTTTCGACTCTAGAAAAACGTTAGCAAAACCCACTCAAACCCATCCATTCGTCGTGCAAATGACGTTAGTGCCAAATCAGGTTTTGCACGTGCAGTCGATCACGTGATCTTCGCATCGAAGTTTTCTTCATATGCACGTGTTGACATTGGCCTCAAGAATTGAAAAATCACTTTTAAACAACAGTTCTAACGGTACTTGAAATGCCACGATTGTCAAATGTGCAACGTGAACGTGCCGTTGGCATGTTGCAAGCGGGAAGATCAGTTATTGACGTCGCAAGAGCAATGGGATGCAGCCGTCGTACTGTGTATGACTTGCGAGGTCGTCTACAACAAACTGGCACCACTTCTGATCGCCCAAGGTCGGGTCGTCCACGTGGGACGTCACGAGCAGAAGACTGTCAAATCGTCCTACGTCACCTACGTGACAGATTTCTGCCGGCTACACGAACCAGGGCTGAGATGTTTAGAGGTCGACTGTCCTCACAGACCATTCGAACTCGGTTGCGGGCTGCCAATCTCGATTCTCGACGTCCATATCGTGGGCCAATATTGACGCCGTTTCATCAACATCAACGTCTGCTGTGGGCCCAACGTCACCTCCGATGGACCCAGAGAGACTGGAATCGAGTCGTCTTTAGCGATGAATCCAGGTTTACCCTCAGATTCGCGGACGGCAGGCATAGAGTCTGGAGACGACGTCGTGAACGGTATGCCCAATGCTGTGTACAGGAAGTCGACAGATTCTGGGGCGGAAGTTGCATGGTGTGGGGTGCTTTCTGTGGTAACAACCTTTCCCGACTTCTGGTCATCCGTGGAAACCTCACAGCTGCTGCTTACCGCGACCAAGTGCTCACCCCTGAACTCGTTCCTTTCATGGCGGCTCATGGCCCAGGTCTACAGTTCCAGTATGATAATGTTTGGCCGCATACCGCGATGTTGACACGAAATTTCCTTCAAAACGCTGGAATCAACGTCATGGACTGGCCATCGAGGTCCCCTGACCTTAATCCAATAGAGCACGTTTGGGATGCACTTGGGAGAAGGCTTCGTGGTCTTAGGAACAAACCTCAGAATTTGCAGGAACTTGGCGCTGCCTTGCAAGAGCAATGGCGCAGAATCCCCAACCACGTGTTCACAAGCATCAGGCAGTCAATGAGGAGACGGTGTTTGGCAGTGGTGAATGCGCGGGGCGGCCATACACAATATTGAACTGAGAAATTTCGCATTTTTATTCTTGTGACTTGACATTCTGCATACCCATGTTTTGGAACGGGGGTGTAGCCTAATGGAACTGATTATGGCACTGTCAGTGTATCGAGTACATCACACAGATCTCAGCAATGAAATAATAACAATTTAACCATCTTACCATCTCTTGTTCTTTTATAGTGCCCTGAAGAAAGAATGTGAAGTTTCTTTTTTGACTCAGTATATATACATAATTTATGGTAATGTCGTCATATATGGGCTTTATGCGTGAATATGATAAAACACAATCCAATATCTAAATGTGGCATATCCAATAACATGACTTACACAATGGTAAATGAAGAACAGTTACTATTTTCCGGTTATTTAATATTTGTGGAAGTTGATGACCAAATAGAACTTCATGTGAGTCAAAATGCTTTTTAGTTTTGTGAGCACCATGTTCGTGGGCTTAACTACTTCGTATGGCCAACTCTTCAAGCCTTGATACACGTGTAACTCATTCTAGATCTCTCACTCTGGAGCCCATCCTGAGTGTTCTAAGGAGGGAGACCAGTAAAGGTCGTCCGGGTTAGAATATTGATCTTCAGTAACCCATGAATGTCGTAAGAGGCGATTAACGGGATCGGTCGGTCAGGCGGTTAGGTCCCATACTGCCAACATCCCAAAAAATATTGTAGGCACCGTGGGAAATTATTTTTTGCCCTGTAGAATAATGGAACAGCCCAATTATCAATGAAGATGAGGTGTGTCGTTTGGAGTAAGGAAGTAATAGTAATTTGCTTTTGGTAAAAAAAAATATGAAATCTGACCAAACAAACACTACCATCTGCATTTGTACGGATTCCTTAAGCTCCATACATGCTCTCATAAATTACTCTACAACAAGAAGACCATAAGATCTAATACATAACATATACAGGAGAATACTATACCACCAAAACAAAAATATTCAAATACATTTTATCTGGGTCCCGTCGCATATCGGAGTCCATGGCAACGAAATGGACATCCTTGTCAGTTGTGCGTAATTGTGAAACCAGTAAAAGACTGTAAAACCAGTAAAAGACTGTAAAACTTATCAGTTTTTCATGATATATAGAGAATATCACCCTAGTGTCTTTTGATATCAAATATATCACCACGAGTTGATAAAGTAACACATTTTTACTTTTATCAACGAGTGTTGATATTTTTGATATCAGAAGACAGGAGGGTGAGATTCTATTTATCATCGAAAATCACTCTTCATTAGTTTTCACTGAAAAATGTACATCTCTGAACACAGTACTGCCATTAGATTTGCAGTGCAGCGATGTCATAACATTGGGACGTCAACAAGTTCATGACGTCATAGCATTGTCAGGGCATTGTACAAAATCTACTGTCAAAACGATATCTCCTAGGAGATATCGTCTGATTTCACACAAGCGATATCCACTGTGGAACACAGTTTTGGATGATAAATCCATGTCTCGATGTAAAGACAGAGAATTCTCAGAATGAATAAACCAACCAACACTTGTAATTTTTTAAACTTCTGTAGGCAGAGTAGGAAGACACCATAAAACAGGTCAGTTCATTAACCAAGTAACTGGTCAAGTTCATTTTAGCAGGGGTAGAACAGGTCGGTGTATTCCCATTCACTTCACTTCCTGATGACTGGACCCTATCATGTTGTTTTAACCTGTAGGCAGTTTGGAACTGTAGGCAGTATGGGAATACACCGGTCAGGCTTACTGCCTTGGTTGACACATCGGTTCCCAGTTGTGCAGATCGATGCTCATGTTGTTGATCACTGGATTGTCTGGTCCAGACTCGATTATTTACAGACCGCCGCCATATAGCTTGACTATTGCTGAGTGCGGTGTAAAACTATTAACTCACCCTTAGGAGGGAACATTCATTCATCATTAACAAGTAAGGTTCTAGTAGAACATACAGGCATCAGTAACGTTGAGGCAAATGTCATGGCACCAATCATGTTCAGGAACATTTTCACACTTCTCAATTCATTTGTAATGTTCTGTAAGTTGTCACCAAATCACATACATGTCTCCTGATTAGACGGGTGTTAATTCACCATCTACCATTGGTTGTAAGACTCCACTGGAACACTCCTGTCGGGCTGTCAGACCCCAGTCTTCATTGGGCTCCAGAGATTTCTTTAGTTTCTGAAATATTTCATATTGCACAGATTACAAACGGCAAACTAGTATGTGTATACATTACCACCATGGTCATTGCAATCAGTAGTTTACTTCAACAAATGAAAGCATGACATTATGTCAGGGATGTTTTCTCCTAACGCAGGTGTACTTAAAGGTCATGATTAAAGGCTCATCCACTTGACACTAGATACCTTCATGTAGTATGGAGGCACTGAATATTGAACTATCCCTTGTGAACTTAAACTGGTTTTCCAATATAACACAACCATATTATTCATAGAGTTGACTGCTTATTACTTCTCAGAATAATCCCCTCTGACGTTCTCACACTTGGTCCACTAAACTGGAGTGCCTAGATGCCTGTCTCAGTTGACCCTTTCAGTTAGTGTGCGAGTCAATATTTTTCGTCATATCGCCAATATTTCAACCATATCGTGACCAGAACAATTAATTATCAGTAAAGATCAATATTATTAGAAGCTATAAAACTGTTTACGATGAACAGTAAAACTACGAGTGTATCACAGATAGGGGGTATAAAACTAGCATGTAAATAAAAACTTATACTATAATGCAAGACAATACAATATAGAAACGGGCAATAGAAGGAAACCAGCAACTGAAGGAAGATCACCATACTGGAGACCATGGGGACTTATAGTACTTTGGCTACCTGCATGGACACCAGACGGATTTATATCATCCCATCAGCCGTTGTTGATTGCAGTTACATTTAGCCATTACTTATAAACACAAAAATACAGCTTTTTAAAAATTCTGTAAGTTAATTTTACCTTGAATGTTTTAGGTCTTAAGTACGCCCACAGGAGGACAATTTTACAATACCTCAACTCCCTGTAAGGATACAGCCACTAACAATCTCAGCTGCTAATCAAACTGCCAATATTAAAATATTTATCTATTAAATTTTACAAATCATTGATAAAAAATTACGTAACAATTCTATTTCTTTTAAAAATGAAATTAGTAAATGATAATTGACGTTAAAAAGATCCCTTACTGCAGTGTATGAAAGAAGACCCGTCCGACAGCCCGAGACGGTCTAGATTTCTGACGGACGGTCTAAATTTACAGCTAGCCAGCCCGATGGTCTGGTAAAAATTGTAGATGTTCCATATATCTGAGTAAATTCACCGTATTTGGTCTGGTTAAATCCATTTTGGACTGGTAACATTTTGAAGTTACCAGCCCTGATGTCTGGCTGGGTTTTTGGCATATTTCATCCACTGCTTACTGTTTTGACATTGAAATACTTATCCCTAGTGATGGAAAAAACCCTTTCAGTTAGAGATACACCAGATAGCACGGTGTCAAATAGTGTCCATTGTAATCAAACCAGACTACCGAACAGAGATATGCTGCCTGGCTGCCAACTATCTACTTGGTTTAACTACAGCCGGTAAGCATTGGAAATACAGCTCAACATAAATGTCAACGTGTTAGTGTGCAGTATCATTATCAGACCCAGAGCGTTTCTGCCAGCCCTCATATACACATGTGAAATCGGATGTGTCTTCACAGATATAGTCGTCCTTTACGCCCACCTGTTTAAGCGTTGTTTCATGTCTGTTAACGATGGTCCAGATGAAGACGACGGGTAGAGGTAGGAGTGAAGCCAAAGATATGAGCCAACCCACAACTGTTGCCCATGTGGGATAGATGTAGTCCCCGTACTTGGGTGGCCGGTAGGAATACAGAGAGTAGCAGAACACCACCTGGGTCACGAAACAGAGGAGGTGGTAGGATTCGAGTCGAAGCTTATTGATTTCAATAACAGTCACTTCATACAACCTGACTGCCAGAGTTTGGTTTTACGCCGCTTTTAGCAATATTCCAGCAACATCACGGGGGGAACACCAGAAATGGGCTTCACACATTGTACCCATGTGGGGATTCGAACCCGGGTCTTTGGCGTGACGAGCCAACGCTTTAACCACTAGGCTACCCCATCGCCCCCACTTCATACAAAAGTGGGTGAGTTTAGTTGTACGCCGCACTCTGCAATATTCCAGTTATATGGCGGCGGTCTGTAAATAATCGAGTCTGGACCAAACAATCCAGTGACCAACATTATGAGCAAATGGTGAATCATGAGGATGAATTCAAATACTATAAGAAGTTATGACAATTTACCTTACATAAGGAACACAATTTTATTCATTTGTGAAATGATAGCCGTGTTTTGAAACATGTTTGTTAGATACACAAGTGGTGTGTGAACACATATACTGGGCAAAATAAGTTAGGGATATTGGTATTTTTATGATTTATATTTTATCAGTGTGTCAATGAATAATTAGATCATTATTCATAATTTCAAAATTTGCATATATCCCTAACTATTTTTGTCCAGTATATATCGTGTGTGACTCAAAGTCTAAGATGTAGAAGAAAAAAACATCGCAAAATCTAACTTACAAACAGAAGTAAAGGACACACGAACTTGATACCGATGGCCATAAACCGTTTGAGTCTTTGTCCCCACATGCTGGTGATGTCTTCCTGCAGCCTCTCAGTTCCTGGAAGTGAGAGGGGGGTTGGATGTCACACAGCTCTGAACAATAGTTAGAGTGAAAAGGTTAGAAACGACAAACCCTTTCTACTTCCATAAGAAGTCTCTGCTAAAAGCACATTTGTTTGTACATTTCCGACTCTATCACGAGCATGTGTTTATTAGGGGTGACTATTGAGGGGGAAACAACTATTGCGATAGCAACTCACTCACTCAATCTACCTTCAGTTGTTGGCGACCTTTAGCCAATTTTTATATTGTATTGTGTTGGTTTTACTGCCCTTCGATGACAGGTTTTTATGATTTACATGTATTTATTGTGAATTCTAAACTTGTTTTAGTCACGATATGGCTGAAATATTGCCGATGTGACTGTAAATCTTAACTCACTCACTATTGCGATAGCGATAGTCCATTGCAACATACTTTTGCGATAGTGTATTGCCACCAACTATTGCAATAGTTTTTTTTCTCCTTGAAGTGTCTCATTTCAAGTCATTTCCCAAATGAATGTATAGTATATATGAAATAAATGAAGCTGAAGTAGTGTCAGTCTCTTTTAATAACTGAGAAGAAACTTGAAATCCAGATCAAGATTATTTAAGAGGAAATGGGGCGGATAACTGTAAATCAAAGTGAACGAACCTGGTGCTTCCTGTATTTTGCGCTGATCATTTACCAACGGAAGTCAATTACTAAACTATCAATAGTCACACATGCTATAGATGCATCGATAGTTTTTCGTTTCTCCCATCGATTAATTGCTTTCGGAGACTCAACAATTGCAATCCATGATAGCTCGATGCATCATTACAGCCCTAGTGTTCATGCATCACTACCAAACAGTGAAGATGTCAGGTGTTCGTTAACAAGGAGAACGAATGCACCGGTGGCACAGAGGGAAATGCTAGTCAGTTGTTAAAAAAGTAGTGAACGTGTGGTAGAAGGCAAAATAGGGAAATACATCGGGCAACATTTCAGTCTGTTATGCGTCGAATGTAAATACCAACCTCTAAACAAATGGGATTACCATTAAACTTGAAGGGAAAGTTGACGATTAGTAAATTCAAATATTGTTTTTTCATACTGTTTTGTGGAGAGTTTGTTGTCACTTTGAATCGTTATGCATATATCTGAACATGAAACATATGATGCGGTTTCCTATATTTCTAATTCAGGCAAGTTAACCAGTGGAAGGGAACTGGCAATTTGAAGGATGTTGAATCATTGGTGGTACACCTGAACCAAAAGTTAAACATCTTGGACATATAATATTTTGATTTTGCCATATGAAGAAAGAAAATGCATGAAGAAACAGATCCGCAAAGTGGGGAGTACTGGTTGAGCCTGTGGGGATGCCTACTTCTTGTCTGAATGTTTTACTGAGAAACGTTACGTAGGTGTTGAATGTACATTGTTTATATCAATGAGGATATCCAGCATGCCATGTATTGTTCTCACAGACAAATGCAGATGACATTACTTTTATATATATAAAATACGTTGATAGGATTCTAGCGACGCTAATGGACGCGTTTATATTACTGTGGCTACATTGCCAATGCCCGGGAGGGAATTATCCCAGGATGTAGCCCCCTTGCTAGTATTGCAGACCTCGTAAATACATACCTTGGTCCATGTCATGTACACCACAAACAATTATGGACACGCTGCGTAAAATGTAATGAATAAAGATGCGCCGTAGTACCTTACGACATACTCCACCATACTCTCGCTTTTTATTCCTGGCATGTTTATCTCAAGTTATTTCATTCATCAGTATGCAAGTGTTCATGTCATGTTTTTGATTGTTGGATGACTGGATAGACAATGGTATAACATAAATATTAGATTAGATTTGTTATGAGAGTGTGTTTTTTGTAATTTGTATTATCATTGATTAGGTTATAGTTATTATGGGTCACAATGTTTAAAGTTTTGAGTGTGGGTTTTGGCTCTCATCTCGCATCAAATATGTTCAATGACAATCGTAATTTTAGCGGTACGCCTTTTTGATAGCGCTTCAGAGTTGCCTCCCTTGGCTGGCTTTATTTTGTTTTGACTTCCGGTCGTATGTTCGAGAAAATTGCCTAATGTTCTGAGAGAATAGTGATGGATCCTAACTTTGCTAGAATGCTCGAGAACTGTGTAAGAGCTATATAAAGGCTGGTTGTTGTGTTGTGCGACGTGACTTATCACATCACTGGAGTTATACGCATCTGTTCATTGTCAAGTTTGCTCAACATAGTCAAGACTGACCATGCTTGCCTATTCGCCTACTGTCCTTGTAAACAAACTTCAATCAGTATAACTGTTGTCACTGTAACTGTAAAGACTCTGGTGAGTAAATATTTTATATTTTCGACCCAATATTTTAGATTTGTGACTCAATTGCATTGTACTAGATATCTGTATTGTCATTCATTGTAGCTTGCTCATTAATTGTTTCATATATTATTGAATATTATAGACTTGCCTGTGTTTTATTTTGCTGGTTCAAAGGGGATTCTTAAACCTTTGTCACGGCAAATTATTAACCGTAACAAATTATTGTAGGAGTTGACAAAACTTTATGGATCATCAATCTCTCTATTTTCAAAATGGCGACGTTTAGAATCTTATACCGTTTTCGGTATGAGAATCTAAACCGAAAGGCTGCCATTGTGAAGACAAAAAGGTTGATCATCGATAAAGTTTTGTCATCACTATACCATCACATTCTATGTCCCTGAGACAAATTATTGTAGGAGTGTTATATATGATGAATATCAAATACCCAGAGGCAAAAGGTAACATGACACGGAATATTTCCATTGGTAATCTTCTAATATGTGGATTTTATTCAGAGCAAGAGTGTATTTAAATGAACGAGGAAGCGCATTAAATCATTTGCTTTTCAAATTGCACGAAATTGGCAAGAACTATGGCATTCAAGAAATATGTCCAGCAATGTTTCGTTTTGATGGCCAGACAACCTGACGCTTATCGATTCTATTTAATGTAGTCTTAAGAAGTGCAGAAGTAAGAAAAAAACCTATATTCATTGAACGGGAACCAGTAGGTCTTGTCACGCCTCTGGGAAAATGACAGATGGCGAACTATGGGTATGTTTCAGACTGGTACCCCGCAGTGTGAGGCTACTCATCGGTTCAACGTCCACAGAAACACCAGTTGGCACTTAAAGCGACATTTACAGCAAAACAACTTATGGTCTGTCGCCGTAGTGAACGCATACCAGTAGTGACCTAACGTCAAGAGCAATAGAATAGGACCACACACCTCCGACATAGGTTCCAGCACCCCTTACCATTCCTGGCAACAGAAGTGCATCTGCGGGAACAGCCCGACGACCAATTCTGAACCCAGGTCAAGACCAATAGAATAGGACCACACACCTCCGACATAGGTTCCAGCACCCCTTACCATTCCTGGCAACAGGTCTCTAGTATGGTGATCTACCTTCAGCTGTTGGCGATATATAGCCTATTTTTATATTGTGTTGTCACCTATAGTTCAAATATTTTAGATTTAATTACTAGTTTTACATGTCTAACTGTGATATTCTAGTTGTTTTACTGTCCTTCGTCGGCAGGTTTTTATGATATAGATATAGTTTGTTTCAATATCAAATGTTCTCGTCACGATATGGCTGAAATATTGCCGATGTGACGTTAAATCTTAACTCACTCACTCCTGGCAACAGAAGTGCATCTGCGAGAACAGCTCGACGACCAATTCTGAACCCAGGTCAAGACCAATAGAATAGGACCACACACCTCCGACATAGGTTCCAGCACCCCTTACCATTCCTGGCAACAGAAGTGCATCTGCGAGAACAGCCCGACGACCAATTCTGAACCCAGGTCAAGACCAATAGAATAGGACCACACACCTCCGACATAGGTTCCAGCACCCCTTACCATTCCTGGCAACAGAAGTGCATCTGCGGGAACAGCCCGACGACCAATTCTGAACCCAGGTCAAAACCAAAAGAATAGGACTACACACCTCCGACATAGGTTCCAGCACCCCTTACCATTCCTGGCAACAGAAGTGCATCTGCGGGAACAGCCCGACGACCAATTCTGAACCCAGGTCAAAACCAACAGAATAGGACCACACACCTCCGACATAGGTTCCAGCACCCCTTACCATTCCTGGCAACAGAAGTGCATCTGCTAGAAGAGCCCAACGACCAATTCTGAACCCAGATCAAGACCAATAGAATAGGTCCACACACCTCCGACATGCGAGAACAGCCCGACGAACAATTCTGAAACCAGATTATCGACGTTGACGTCTCCAGTGGAGAACACTTGCTATAGGTAGCCCGTGAGTGGAGAAGAGTTCCCTTCACAGACGAGTCCTTCTTTATCGTTTCCTTCTTCACCGAGCTAATGTTGGGACTTGTGTCAAGAGGAGCATTGGTGAACGTTGCATGAGGCCATGTGTCCTTGAAGGGCATTGTCTTTTAGGTGAATGTGTTATGATCTGAGCTGGGATAACAGCTGCAACAAAGATGCCAGCGTGTGTGATGGAGCAGAACTTGAATGCTGTTAGGTACCGAGACGATACTGAGTTAATGACAGCTTTGCCGTTTTTGCACCAGTACGTGCCTGGGGTGAGAACACCAGAACACAATATCACACATCGGTCAAGATCCAGCCGTATCAGAATCAGATCAGAACAATTTTAATGTGTGTCCCATGTCCCCTGACTTGTCACCCATTCGGAATGGAACGACATCATTCGAGTCCTCCAACAACACTGAACGAACTCCTCCAGATCCCTCTCCGGATATTGAATGTTACTTTCCCTGGACTTTCATCGACGTTTGGGGGCCTCGATGAGGCATCGTTAGGAGGCATACGCCAATGCACAAGGTTGACAGACTCGCAACTAATCATGCGAACCTGCTTTAGTGTTGTAGCCCATTTAAAACATTTGCGCTATGGTTATGTACTGCTGATCGTAATCATACCTGAAGATATGTTATAACTTTTGCGGCTGTTGAGTATGTATTAGACATACAAATTGTATGTTATTTTTTCATGCATAAAAGTAACATAAAGCTTGTTAATACGGTGACAAAACCATGTCAACAAACAAGAAACGCCAGTTTCAAACAGATTCACGGGCATGATATAAACATATATTTATGAGTCACTATCAATCAAATGATATGATATACCATGCGTTTGTGAAGCCGAATTTTCAGAATCATTGACACACATTTGAAAGAACGAGTTGTTCCTGGATCCTGATTACGGCATTTTATGCTGCGTTTGCTGATATTTATACTTGCCGAAATGTGATGTTATTTTACAAAATTGTTTTCTCATATCAATAACACTGTGATAATAGCATGATAATTTTTAACAATATTCCAGCAATATCACGGCGGGGGACACCAGAAATGGGCTTCACACATTGTACCATTGTGGGGAATCGAACCCGTGTCTTCGGCGTGACGAGCGAACGCTTTAACCGCTAGACTACCCCACCGTCCCCCCGCGTTAGGACAGCTTTGTGGAACAGAGATAATAACTTCATATCAACAACGGTAATCAGATGCTTGTCTGTGTCTGTGAGTTTGTATCGTGAAGCAAATTATTTACACGTGTGTCATACATAATTCATCTTGAGTGTTATCTTTTAGCTTCCAACTCACTTACCATTTCAATCCGAGAATGGCAGAATAATGCTAAAGTCTTACCATAGTGAATGAGTGAGTTAAAATTTATAGTCACTTTGGCAATATTTCAGCCATATCGTGACCTAATTAGGCCATGTTCAATATTGTATCGTGTTATATCTTAAAATCTGTCTGCGAAGGAGAGTGAAAGAACTAGAATATCACAGTTAGAGATTTAAAACTAGCATGTGCCTTCAAAGTTTATACTATTTAGGACATTACAATATAAAAGCAGATTATAGATCACCAGCAGCTGAAGTTAGATCACCATACTAGGGACAATGGGGACTTACTACCTGCATGGACCCCAGCTGGTTTTACACCATGCCTTCAGCCACTGGTGATTGTAGTGAAATTCTTACCATAGCACCAGCCAACTACAATGCACTCCAACATGGCGAACATGGCGATAGAAGGAAAGTATGCGTACCAGTCCACCAGCGTCACTGCATATATACCACCCTAAAATACACATTAGCATTGAGTCACATGTTAAAAGGGTGAAATAAATGATATACGCGCAATCTGTCTGAATCATATATATCAGAGGCTTATCAGAGGTAAAATCATATGAATGGATCAGTCAATCAGTGCTGAAACTTTGTCTTTGCGAGTTTGATTAGTATGTTCTGCTTTACCGGTAGAAATGAATGCACGATCCATGAAAATGCGATTTAATTTGGGGCGGTAGGGTAGCTTTGTGGTAAAAGCGTCCGTACGAAGACCCGGGTTCGAATCCCCACATGGGTACAATGTGTGAAGCCCATTTCTGGTGTCTCCGCCGTGATATTGCTGGCATATTGCTAAAAGCGGCGCAAAACTAAACTCACTCACTCTATTAAAGTGTTGAAAGATGCGTAACGCAGCCCCAGGCAAGAGACCAATCATACGACGTTAGTGAATAATCGAATCTGGTCTTATCAGTCCTGTTACTGGTGTCATGAGCAATGGGGGAGTTAAACTTACTTGGAACACATAAATTAGACTGAACAGCAGCAGACTAAGGATTACTGCAGCGTTAACCAGCCAGTGTCGCTTTGTGAGTTGGGGAAGCAGGTCCTCTATCGCAGCTACGATCAGTTCGATGCTTGGGACCTAAGAAGAGGTAAATAGGATAGACCACATCACAGAATGATCGACAAATAAAACCTTTTTACGTACATATGTACGTAAGGGTAAATAATAACTTTGAGGTCTTTATACATTGAGTAAGTGAGTTAAAATTAACGTCCCGTCAGCATTATGTCAGTCATATAGGGACGAGAAGAGTTAAACATTAGCACGTTATCGCTTTTTGAATCTAAAGACTAGCAATTTCAAATAATAAAATATTCTGTTCAGAAAAATCAATGTTACATGTAATGCTATTAGAATACCAACAACCACAATTGGACCAAAGGAGTTCTAATTATAACCAAAACAAATGAAATCGTGTCAAGATTATTAGAATCACAGAACTTTCTCTGGTCGTGTAGATACTCAATCCACTAGCCCTGGGAGATATTTCGTAGCCAATGGCGTCACTCCACACTTACCTTATAGTCAATAGCCAGTGGTATAAGTGTGACACACTCATTCACTCTAAACTTACCATAGAATCTAAGGCCAGCGTCATCATTGAGACAAACTCATTCACTCTAAACTTACCGTTGAATCTATAGCCAGTGTCATCATTTAGACAAACTCATTCACTTTACACTTACCGTTGAATCTATAGCCAGTGTCATCATTGGGACAAACTCATTCACTCTAAACTTACCATTGAATCTATAGCCAGTGTCATCATTGAGACAAACTCATTCACTCTAACCTTACCGTTGAATCTATAGCCAGTGTTATAATTGAGACAAACTCATTCACTTTAAAAATACCGTTGAATCTATAGCCAGTGTCATCATTGAGACAAACTCATTCACTTTAAACTTACCGTTGAATCTATAGCCAGTGTCATCATTGGGACAAACACATTCACTCTAAACTTACCATAGAATATATAGCCAGTGTTACCATTGAGACAAACTCATTAACGTTAAACTTACCGTTGAATCTATAGCCAGTGTCATCATTGGGACAAATTAATTCACTCTAACCTTACCGTTGAATCTATAGCCAGTGTTATAATTGTGACAAACTCATTCACTCTAAACTTACCATAGAATATATAGCCAGTGTTACCATTGAGACAAACTCTTTCACTTTAAACTTACCGTTGAATCTATAGCCAGTGTCATCATTGTGACAAACTCATTAACTTTAAACTTACCGTAGAGTCTATAGCCAGTGTATATGAATAACTCACTCTAAACGTACCATAGAATCTATAGCCAGTGTCATCATTGTGACAAACGTCAACACAGACCACAACTGGGGCATCGGGAGGGAAGAAAGGACATCGGGGTATACTATAAATGCAAGGTTGTATCCTGAAAAGACACAACACCATATCCAGCCCAGCGCATTGTACAATTGCCTGTAAGGCAAAAACATTTCTGAAAAACATGTATCGTTCTTATACCATAACGGCAAACGGATGGATAATATTATGTGAATCTCTTACTTACAGTTAATGAATAGGTTGTTGTGGGTCTGTTCTAGCCTGGGATTCACACAGGGTTATGCTTTACTAACTTTCCTGATACCAGTGAAGCTTCGGGTGAGAATTGGTCTCAGCAGCTCATGCTTGTCGTAAGAGGTTCACCCATGTCATCGTATCCAAATTGCGTAGATCAATACTATTGATGTTGATCACTGCATTATCTGGCCCAGATTCGATTTTTGAAACAGACCACTGTCCTATTGCTGAGTGTGGTGTTGAACAAACTTTCCTGGGTGACTTACCCGATGACTCGAAGGCATCTACCTTTACACCACGTAAGTAGGCAACGTGGCCTACGCAGGCAAAGAAGGCAAAGCCGATAAAGATGCTGGCGAAACAGTCCATCAGGCAAACTAGTATTGCATCCCTAGAAGGTAAAAAAGTCGAAATCATACAATACAGTATTGATATTAATGTGAGTGAGTTAAAATTTTACATCGCATCGGCAATATTACAGCCATATAGCAATGAAAACAAGGTAATCATTTTAAAATATCTGTCGACAAAAGACAGTAAAACCAAAAAGACTATCACAGATAGATGTATTTAAAACTAGTAATTAAATCTAAAATACTTTAACTATAGAGGACGATACAATATAAAAACAGGCAACAACTGAAGGCAGATCACCAAACTAGGGACCATGGGGACTTACAGTGCCTTTGCTACCTGCATGGACCCTGGTTGGATTTACACCATCCCTTCAGCCGCTGGCGATTGTAGGAAAAGTTTAGCCGAATTTTAAAAGAACAAAAATATTACGTTTAAAAATCCGGTAAGCTTAGATTTAACATTGAAAGTTTTGGGACTTACGTACCCTCTCAGGAGGACAATAATGTGTACGATACTTTAACCCCCTTTGAGGGTACAGCCACTAACAATCGCAGTTGCTAATTCATACTACCATGTTTGAAATACCTATTTACAAAACATATTATTCAAAATTTATCTAATAATTCTATTTCCTTTAAAACTGCAATTATTAAATGGTAATTAACATTATTAAAACGATCCTTCAATATTTTGACATTGAAATATTTATCCCTTGTGATGGAAAAATCAATACAGTCAAGCGGGACAATCTTTACGTGGATTCTTTCATCACAAGGGATACAAAACGGAGGATCATCACCTTTATGCAAATATTCATGTGTATATCTTGTGTGGCCAATACGACATCGTCGCATGATGTCCTCTTCAAATCTGGACCAACCCAAGTAGGTGTAACCAATATAGGGTTTTATTGCATGTAATTTATTGATACCTATTTGGGTGTCCCACTTCTTCTGCATCAGATCACGGATGTAAGTTCTAATGCTTGCTTTATAATCAGAGAATGGAATAAGAAGTGGCGTCACAGATTTGTTGAGTGCTGCCTTAGCAGCAAAATCAGCCATTGTCTTCCCTGAAACACCAACATGGCTGGATAACCAATAAAAGACGATGTCGTATAGGCCAGTAGCAAGATCTTTATATAGTTAAAAAATCTCAATTAAAAGAAAGATTTTTAATAGCCTGAAGGCAAGAAAGAGAGTCTTTATGTTATTTATATTATATATTGTTTATATTTAGGATGTCTATTAATATATTTAAGAGCTGTTAGTATTGCATTTGCTTCTGCTGTGGATATTGAGCTGTTATTTGGTAATCGAGAAGATATTGTTCTGGATCCAATGACAGTGGCACAAGCAACTGCGCCACTATCCTTGGACCCAACTGTAAATAAGGATTTGTATGTATTATATGTACTTTTTAATTGATTATATTTTTGTTTATATTGTAATTCATTAGTTTCTGATTTCTAATGCTTTGTCAGTTTAAGGTCAACCTTGTGGCTTCACTAATTGCCAAGAAGGAGAAGAAAGAAGAAGACGGGAAGGAGATATATTCGAAAATTTAAAGCCGTTTTCAAGACGCCATTTATTTATTTTGTTTAAACACAACTGCAGTAGCCGTTTAATAGTATGCATATTTTTACCGCGAAAAGAATTGTTAAAATCATCAACAAAAAGTGATCCATCAATTGAATCATTTAAAACCTTTGATAAACTGTTGATCTTAATACTAAACAATGTTACAGACAAAATACTGCCTTGTGGGACACCCTTATCCTGATTATAATGGTCATACAGGGTTGAACCCACTCGGACTTGAAATTGCCTGTCAGCTAAAAACTGTGATATAACAGAGGTAAAGGACCCCTTAAACCAAAATCATGTAAATCCTTCAAAATGCCATGACTTCCAGGTGGTATCGTATGCTTTCTCGAGGTCGAAGAATATCGATACTGCATGTTGTTTATTTACTATTGCATTTTTGACAAAGGATTCTAAACGTTCCAAATGATCAATGGTACTACGATTTTTCATGAAACCACATTGAATATTTGTTATAAGGTTATTGGTTTCAAGATACCATGTTAATCTATTGTTAACCATTCGTTCCTTGGTTATACAGACACAACTCGTTAAAGAGATTCGTCTGTAATTAGATGGATCAGTATGATCCCGGCCTGGCTTTGGAATAGAGACGACAAGGGCATTACGCCACGAAGTTGGGAAATTCCCTCTGGTCCATATCATATCAAATATATTTAGCAGCGTTTCCAAACATGATTCGGGCAAATGCTTCAGGAGCTGATAGTGGATATCATCAGCCCCTGTTGCTGTATCATGAGCTTGCTCAAGGGCGGTATGTAGTTCATGTAGTGAAAATTGATTCTTTCCTTCTCCTGTTATTTCTGATGTTTTTGAAACTCAGGGACATAATTTGATGATGAAGAACGTTTGGCAAGAGTTTCGCAAATTGCATTTGCTATTTCAGCTTTATAAGTTAATAGATTATCACCATCCTTCAGATGATGAACTGTAGATTTGGAATCTTTGCCCTTTATTCTTTAGATCATGTTCTACACCTTTGACATGGGTGTACGTGCATTTATTTTGGAAACATAATTTCGCCAAGACTGACGCTTATTTTGTTTAAAAGCACGTCTAGCCTTGGTACTAGTAATTTTGACTTTGTCTAGATTTGATATTAATGTGCTAAACAGTTAGTAGTTGTGTAAATGCTTTGAATTATACACACATCCTGTACTGAATGTAATATAACCAGTTTGGTTACCCTTCACGCCAGATGATGTGTCTGGGGATGTTCGAGAGGTTGTTCTTTTGCGTTTTGTGTTTGTCTCAATCCCCGTGAAACGAAAAATTACAAGAAAGATATTACAAAGCTAGGTACAAGGTTACTTCCTTTTTTTTTTCACACTTCTTATCTTTGCAATATACACAGGGACACAGGGTGCAATTCAACCAACAAAGAAAAGGCATTTCAATAGTACATATTATCTTTCTTTGAAAACAATTTGGGGCGGTGGGGTAGCCTTGTGGATAACGCATTTGCTCACGATAACGGCCCGGGTTCGATTGGTACATGCTTACAATATGCGAAGCCAATTTCTGGTGATCTCTACCGTGATATTGCTGGAATATTGCTACAAGCTGCCTAAAACCCATGATTACACAATGCCATAGAGTAGGTGGTCAAATGTAATATACTCAGCAGCAAAAAAACAAACGTCAGCACGAATTCAAAATTAGATAGGCACTGTAATCAAATCATTACAGAAATTGATATAATAAGCGGATCAAAAACACTTTTTGTGTACAATATCTTGACACATCAATGAATAAATCAGCACAATTTCAAGACATTACGTGAACGTTTGCAGTTCATTCAGACTCTTGACTTCAGTATCTAGTGTGACCACCACGAGCGGCAATAACTGCAGCACAGCTTCTATGCGTGGAGTGCACCAATCGACTGATGAAAGCCACTGGCACCTGGAACCACACTCTGAGAAAGGCCTGGCGCAATACATCGGCTGTGTTCGGCCTTGGTATGACATTATTCAGACTCCTCTGAATTCCATCCTAAAGATGTTCAATTGGGTTTAAATCAGGACTAAGGGCTAGCCACTGCATAGTGTTGATACCGTTCTGCTGTAGGAAGTCTCGAATAGCTCTGGCAGTTAGGGTCTGGGCAGTATGGGCCTGGGCGTTATCATTCTGGAAAATGTTGTCCGGTGACGTGCGAAATGTGGTATGACGTGGGGTCTGAGAGCTTGGTTGATGTAGCGCACCGCTGTGATGCCACCTCCTCTCCCTTGACCAAGGTTCTGGAACACCACAGGACCCACTCTCTGGTTCAGGCCTATTCCACCCCATACCATGATGCTTGCACCTCCCAATGAGTCTCTTTCCATAACACACTGGTCTGAGTAACGCTTGCCACCTCGTCGCCATATTTTTGTTCTGCCAACTGCAGTTGATACGCAGTACCGACTCTCATCTGTGAACAGAAAAGTTCTCCATATCTCTGTATCGCCAGTTTTGGTGTTGTAGGGCAAACTGTAGGGCCGATGACGAGGGGTGAGGATAGGTCCACGGTAAGGTCTACGGCAATGGAGGTTCACGCAGTTAAGACGTCGGCGTACTGTATCAGTACTGATTTGTCTTCCGTGTGTTCCCACTGCCTGGCGTGCTGTTTCGGATGTCTGCATGAAGGGATTCTGTACATGCTGTCGCACAACATGGCGGTCTTGTCGTCTTGCGGTCACCCTTGGTCTGCCAGTACGGGGGCGATCATTTGTGGTGTTGGTGGCCCGGAAACGTTGCTGCAGCCTGCAGATGGTCTGAACGTTGACCTGGAAGTGATTGGCAACGGCTTGTGCAGTGTGGCCAGCTTCTAGTCTTCCTAGCGCCTGGTTCCTCTGAGCTGTCTTGAGTCGCGGCATCCTGCTGACGTTGTAATGTTAATGTTTCAACCAGGTTTGGGGGTGCATTTCATAGGGCTGGTCCTTGTGAACAGCACGTGCAGCATGAGTTGCATGAAAAACATGGAGAACACCGTACCATCTCCGAGATCATTTCCTGGGTTCCATTCTGAGTTTGGGAATGAATGTCTTTGCTCAGGTAAAGTTGGAGATGTTGTCAAAAATATACAATCAAAACATTACAGTAATCCGTTTCTGCGACGGAAAATTCCAAACTGGTGTTTCTTTTGCTGCCTAGTATATATGTTATATTTGGGATTACACGTTCTTAGTAAAGTACAGATTCTAGTACTTTTTCGTTGGGTTCAGTCCCATCCGGGATTCGAACCCACACCATCAGAGTCAGGCACCTAATCGCCTGGGGCATTTGGGACATAAAATCCATTTCACTTTCTCACTCACTTTGAAACGATGTTTTAACTAAAACGTAAGGAGTATTGACTTTGTCGATTTTATCCCGATATCGGTTGACGATTTTTAACGAGATGATATTTAGTCAACTTACAAACCTTTGAACGCCAAAAAAGCATATGATTAATTTGATAGAGCCAGCCAATACTCAACTTAAAAGGCAGATACTGACTTGGGGACAAAAAACACCTCGAGCGAATACAAAATACCTGAAACAGTTGTTCTTCAGCCTGTTGTGTCCAGACATAGTGATGATGCATCCCATGCCAATACCCATTGTATACAGGGAGAAGCTGCAGGATTGAACCCACATCTACAACGATAAAGTAGTCATTGCTATGACTAATGCTGATTTTCCTCCATTTCTTGTATTCAACTGGATCATTCCAATCCAATATGATCGCAGCCAGCACGGATCCCCTACTGCATCTAGTTTCGATTACGTGACTAGACTAGTCCATGACAAATCTTAAGAAGTGTCATTAGCATATCAAGACGATGGACCCCGTACAGTTCCGATCCACTACAATCATGTTAGATAATTCTGACAAGCATACCATCAGCTGACTTCGTCGGCTATCATGTAGACGATGTTTTCGGCGGATTTTTTTGCTCAATGAATCATTCAACTACAGTTTTAAATGCCCGATGTATTACGTAGCGAGTATAAAAAAGTTTCCAAAAGCTGGCTTTCAACTAAAACTTAATTGATATATCTTGTCCAGGATGGGAAAGTTTGAGTTAAAACAAGAAAATGCTTGTGGCACGTTTCAGGTGAAGGCTTACATAAGGGTCTGTAAGTTTCTCAAACTTGGGGAAGATGTAGTAATACATTCCTTCCAAGGAACCCGGAAGTAGACATCCCCGGATGAGGAAGACGGTTACGAGGATGAAAGGAACAGCAACGGTGACGTACACAAGCTGAAAAATTAAATCTCAGTGAAAGAATTCGCAGGTGTTATAGAAATATTATCCCTCCCCCTTGCATGAGAAACAAACCGTGTTGAAACATAGGACATATTGACGCAGGACACGAACAAATATTATGAAATCTTGCCTTTAGTGAGCGATCGTTCTTCTTCATTAGATGATGGATGTGTATGATTTGCCTCTTTCAGCATTTTCTTTAAGGTATCACGCTGTGCCAAATTAAGAATGGGAATTTAATTCACAATGCTATGGACCTGGTGGTATTGTTCCGGTGATGACATATGCTGATTATTTCCCAGCAAACCTTGCATAAGTCATAAAAGCCGCACCGCACTGCAAAGTCCCTTCGCTAAAGGTATTGTGTAAGCCTCAGTCTCAGTAACAGATATTATGTCTTCTTCTTGTTAAAAGCTGCACTAAGCAATATTCCAGCTATATGGCGGCGGTCTGTAAATAATGGACTAGACAATCCAGTGATCAACAACCTGACCATCGATCTACGCAATTGGGATATGTGTCAACCAAGTCAGCCAACCTGACCACTTGATCCCGATATTTGCCTTTTATGACAAGTATGGGTTGCTGAAGACCAATTCTAACCCGTGTCTTCACCGGTAATAAATTGTCTTCTGTTTGGGGTTGATTATGTTCTTTAAATTACCTTTCCTGACACCTTTATTCCCTGGAATATCCACAAGAATAGAATGACATAGGTGACGGCCAAACATCCAGCTAGATGCCATCTTATGCTTCCCAGATTTTCAAGACCATCCGTCACTCCAAGAACATTGATTCTGATGAAGGAGAACCGCTCAATGTCACAGTCAATTCACATCTTCTATTAAAAGAACATATTTCCAGTATCCTATAATTGTCCTAAAGTCAAAGCCTGTGATAAGATATGTGACAGATGTTTAAATCAAGTCTTCAGTTCTCTTGATGTTGTTTTACTTTTCGTGATAAACACTCAAAATGTGACAAATTGTAAAATTGTCAAGTTCTTAATCACTTCTTTGATTGGCATTTTAGAAGTTGAGGAGATGAGGACAATGTTTATGGATATACAACTTCTTTATTCTGTATACGCGACGTTTCGACATATATTCTCGCATATACAGAATAAAGGTTGGATGTCCATAAAAATTGTCCTCATTCTTCAAGTTCTTAATCAGCACACGAGTAACTGCCAACAAGAATGGACGTGGTATCGGGACTGCCGAACTGGTGCTTTCAGAAAAGTCCACCCAGCAAGTCTTCATTCATGATGGCATATATGGGGTATTCAATATCCGTCACTAAACATGATAAAGACATAAAACCAGGTGGTTGATCTGCTGTGACTTACTTCCAGAATTCCTCGGCGGCTGTCATCCCTGATGCATTGACCTGGTCAGTAATGTTCGAATGCGCACCTGTTCCATTCGTGAAATGAATTCGGTTTGAAATGCAGGTGGGAGTGTTCCATGCATTATCACAGTTGTCCCAGGGTAATTTGTCGAAAAACGAGTTGTAGAAGTAATACATAAACCATACAAAACCGATGTTGTAGTAACTGCAGAAAAACCATCCGACAATTGCACACCCGACGCCTATACCTGAAACGACAGAAGGCCACCTATCACTACACGTGAAACTTTGGCAGTGTATTTTAATTGTGTAACAGTGATTCAAGTGCATTAAACAGTATATGTTGACATTCAGTAGGGATCAGTGGTATTCTAGATTTAGGCTGAGAATTCTAAAAGATACTTCGAGGTACTACAACCACATTAGCCTTTCCAGAACATTCCTATCCAGAATATTTTGGAAAGTTCCACTTCAAAACGCAGGCCAGAAGTTTTCTGCACAGTCCTGTTGCCTCTCCTGCTATATGTACCTAGACTGGTATCACCATAATTACTGATCTTACATAATGCTGCCGTTGTAATTTCTTTGAAGTGATTTGTAACCTTAGTTCATTTCATAGTACAATTGTCACAGTCAAGCATCTCCTGCTTGACTGTGTCGAATTCTCCATCATAAGGGATAAATATTTTAATGTTAAAACTGTTAAGGATCTTTTTAACACTGTTCATGTTCATTTAATTCTTGGTTTTTTAAAAGAAATTGATTTGATCACTGATTTTTGATTAATATGCTCTGTAAGTAGATGTATTTTAATGATTGGTAGTTTAGATTGTTAACTTATATTGTTAGTGGCTGTGCCCTCAAAGGGGGTTGACGTAGCGTAAAATTATTGTCCTCCTGAGAGGGTACGTAAGTCCCAAAACATTTCAAGTAAATTTCAGTCTACCAGGTTTTTAATCGCAGTATTTTTGTCATTTTAATGTCTGGCTAAATCTCAGTATAAACGCCAATGGCTGAAGGGATGGTGTAAATCCAGCTAGGGTCCATGCAGGTAGCAAAAGTAATGTAAGCCCCCATGGGCCTTAGTATGGTGATCTACCTTCAGTTGTTGGCGATCTATAGCCCATTTTTACATTGTATTGTCTTCTTTAATTGGAATATTTTAGCTTTGTTGGCTAGTTTTATATTGATATCTGTGATTATCTAGTATTTTTACTGTCCTTCGTCGGCAGGTTTTTATAATAACTATATATATTCTATTACAATGTCAAATGTTCTCGTCACGATATGGCTGAAATATTGCCGATGTGACGTTAAATATTAACTCACTCACTCACTCATAGTACAATTGTTAACTGAATCACATTTCTGTGTTGTTTGTTTGTTTCACATTGCGTTCTTTTACAGTCTGATTTCCAGTTTCAAGTTGGGACTTAACTTGTAACAACATGCACACAGCGACACAACCAATCTAGTATTACCTGCCCTATCGACAGGATCTGCCATAAGGGGAAGGTAGGAATATTTGCTTGTAGTGCCGTGTGATTGATGTTAAACACATTTTTGTAAAACACAAAATATTTGCTTTTGCAATATAAAAACGTAGAAAGTTAAAATCTGTCAAAGCATTTCTACAATCGCAAATAAACAATTTATATTCACTCCACTAGCCATGACACATTTGTTACTAAACAACGTGGCCATATGTACAGTTTAAACTTCAGAGGTTCAGAATAATTTTACGTTTACAGAGAAAGATGTATGTGAAATGCTATGAAATGCTCACAGATGACATCCGTGTTGAAAATAAGGATAGGCCACGTAGGTAAGGAAACGTGCAATAAGACCGCGTTCCCAATGGGATCTGTTTTGATGCATACGAATCATTCACCTGTTGTCTTGTTGAAATTCCTTTGATAGGAGATAGAAGTCGGTTATAGTTCTCTGTTACACTAACAATCAATCTGGTTCACACCTTTAATGACATTGACAGCCTTACCTTTAAAAAGAGGACACATGTTCCAGACGTTGATTGCTCCGCTCTGACTGTACTGTCCAATGGTCATCTCCAAGAACACGATGGGAATGGCTCCAACGAGCGTGAAGATAATATAGACAATCAGAAACGCCCCTAACAAGCAAAACAAACACAGCTAAACTTCTGAGCAGATCTGCTGTAATATGATGCAGTTGGTATTAGACTTTCTCTTGCAGAACTTTTAATCTTCCTGAAGTGTTTTGGCACTGTATGGCACCTACCTTTATGGTGGAAACATTAGAAACGCCATTGACGTTTAATTTTGCACTTTTTGAGGTGTGTTATATTACGTCGTTTCAAGCTCTCGTATTTTCACAAGACCGAAACATGACCACTTGCATAGGAAGACTGAAGACCGTCTAACTGATATATTTTGTGTCTCTCTTTGTTGAATAAAGATATATTTTTTAATATGAACATGAAACGTAACATGTTTTAAGAGTCAATGGTGAAAAGTTAGTTTTGGAGTGGAATATTCCCTAAAGTATATTTAATGAGACCTACCTCCGCCATTGCGCATGCAGTAGAAAGGAAACTTGATTAACGAGCCCGCTCCAACACTGTATCCAAGTAGAGAGATGATGTAGTCCAACTGATTGTGCCACTGTTCGCGAGTCATCGTTGTTCCCACACTATTAGAGAATAAGTCTAATTCGTGAAAAGGGTATGCAGAAAATGGTTAGATAGGAGATGGATATATCAGGTTCAGTGTGATCTGTTTTGCCATATATTCATGTTTCATGCTGAAAATGTTTTATGCCGGACAATAACATATTTCCATAACATACCTCACGTCTGACGCATTTTGAACAAATGTTTCGGTGTTTTTCAGGTGTCTTGTTTTTGCATATTTTGGGTCTGTGGCAAGTCTTGTGACAACACAACAGTTCTGTGTTAATTTTGAAAACAGCGTGCTCATGATATAGTCGGAATCATTAATTTGAATAGAGCTTGTAGTGATGTTTCATGATTATGGGGGCGGTGGGTTAGCCTAGTGGTTAAAGCGTTCGTTCGCTCGTCACGCCCCACATGGGCACAACGTATGAAGCCCATTTCAGGTATCCCTGCCGTGATATTGATGGAATATTGCTAAAGAACAGCATAACACCAAACCCATTCACACTTATGATTATGGAAATGGCGGCGGTCTGTAAATAATCGAGTCTGGACCAGACAATCCAGTGGTCAACAGCATGAGCATCGTTCAACACAACTGAGATACGATGACATGTATTGCACTGGTATTAGTATATTTACTCATTGGACAATGAATTTAATTTACCTGATTACTGATTCATTAATTAATCTCAAAGATCGGACCTGACACAAGAAAAATACTTATTGTTTGATGAGCATTTTGGCAGTATCAGTAGCAACAGTACGGCAGTGACGTCATTAATATGACGCCATGACTCTTCTTTGAACGTACATTAATAACATGACAAGGGCATTTGTAATGCTCTGAATTCCGCAGCACGGAGGGGCACACTCAAAGCGCACCAATCTGGTAATTCTTACCTTCACACATGTGTGGTCAAAAGTGTTTTGAGAGCGTTGTTTCTCCATAAAAGATAAACAATTAAGGCTAGAACAAACCAATGCTGGTAAGTTCCATCCTCGTTCCTGTACCATGAAACACCATGAATTAACAACATTACAGGTTCACTGCCCCTTCTATCAACCATTGCACATCCGCTACCTTCTGAGTGCCATACGATTAAAGAATGTTTGGGTTTGATTGGTTAAAGAGAGGTGTCTTTTGTATTTTCTCACCACTCATTTAATTTCAGCCTCTTCACACAACAACCGTGCGTATTAATACAACGAAAGCATGGTCATTCGTCCATCAGAGCTGTATAATGTTTTCTTTATTAGACCCTTGGTCTCAAATTGGCGCTGGTCCAATAGCTCGCGTGAAAAACACACCACGCCGACTAATACTGGAAGTATGGTACGTGTCATATCGGACGGCGAAAAGTTCTAGGCCGTACTCATGGAAGATGCAAGGAGGTGATGACATAAGTAAAATAGAACATTGTCAAGAGTGTTAAATAAAACCCTTTTTGCATATTTGGCCTTACAAAGGTGCTGCAAAATCACAAACATTTATCAGATATCATTACGAGTCCCTAGGTCACAATGCCCAGACAACATAAGATCCATTTCGGAGCTTGCACTGTTATGCCAAACACGCGGGAACTTGTGTGGCAAGGTCACAACTGCAATATGTCTGAAGCTGACAGGTAATACAAGGACAAACGGACCTTAAACGGTACAGAGTACTAGTGAATCAGCAGGTTAATGTTGAATGAGAGCATAACTCTTGGTTGTCATCTGGCTTCATGTAATTTATCAGAAGCAAATGTACTGTCAACAACATTGACAATTACTGACAAAAGTTAGCGACGTATGCCAGGTTCAGTAGCATCACAGTTGGGGATTTTGAATTTGTTTTATTTGCTGATCGTAATTTGGAACGTTTGGAACTCTAAGTCTTTTTAACCCTAATTTGGAAGTAGTAAAGAAAGTGAGTATATAGTCATAAGTCGTTACGATATGGAGTTAGTGAGTGAGTTAAAATTTAAAGTCATTTTGGCATTATTTAAGCCATATCGTGATTAAAACAAGTTACGGATAAACAATAATTAAAGATTATAAATTCCTGTCAACGAAGGACAGTAAAACAACTAGAATACCACAGCTATAAATGTAAAACTAGTAATTAAATCTAAAACATATTAACTATAGAGGAGAACACAATATAAAAATAGGCTGTTACGACATGGAAATATTACTGACGTGACGGTGAATTCTCACTTACTAACCTTTTCGGAATGTCCTCAGATGGCGGACCATGGTACAATTATTACGTTCCAAGACAGCACTCTTTTCAAAGCGCTCTTGTCATAGTAGCACTTGGTTCCATTTCAATTGTATTTACTCTACAGTGGGAAATTTCAAAACCAAGCAGGTTTATCTCCTAGTTAGAGAGAATAATCTGGTAAGATAAGCGCAGCTGTAACAGGAAGCATGGTTAAAATACAAAAGGAGTGTTAATAAAAATGCGTTATAGTTTTAGGAGTGGTCGTATTTGTGTTAGATAGATTCTGTAGGGTTATCCTTTTAGCGGTATGCAAATTGTTGTCCCTTGTTACTAAAGGTGGCAGCAACTAAATCACATGTTGTTATGATCGTTCTTTGAAGAAGTCCCTACGGTGTTTCCCGATAACAGCACGTGGTACCAGATATGGGATATTGCTGTAATTAATGCGATGTAACTGCTAAATAACTGTTTCAGACAGAGAGAGAGAGAGAGAGAGGAGAGAGAGAGAGAGAGAGAGAGAGAGAGAGAGAGAGAGAGAGAGAGAGAGAGAGAGAGAGAGAGAGAGAGAGAGAGAGAGAGAGAGAAAGTATAAAGAGAATGTTTAAAAGCTATAACCGAATGAGAGAGAGAGAGAGAGAGAGCTATTTTAAAAGTATAAATCGAATGTTTTGTGACTTCCACAACTATAGTGATTCTTGAAGCATTTCCGTTTGTTTGTTGTTGTTTTTTTGGGGGCTGATGATTTACTAATGTGTGTGTTTGTAACGGGTAGACTTGGTGGGGCAGAATGTGCTACCTTTTCCCATAGACACACGATGCAATGGCTATTTCCCAGCAATGCATATGCAATCAGAATGGGACAATAGCCAATGCTGATAGCTGAGATTACATATGACTGTTGAAGATATTTTATCGCTCTGTTTAATGATATGTAAATCGTATGTTGTACCACAGGTACACTGGAATTATAACATATTTGAATTTACGTAATGCAGATTGTAATAAGATGGACAGAGTGAGTCGTGTAGTGAGTGAGTGAGTTAAAATTTAAAGTCACATCGGCAGTATTTTAGCCATATCGTTACTATGAAGTTTGTAAATTGTAAATGTATACATGAAATAAAAACAAACGTATATACTTACCTGTCTGCGAAGGACAGTAAAATAACTAGTCTAACACAGATGTATACTTAACACTAGCAACGACAAAATTCTAAGTTTAACGGTACAATAAGCTGCCGTGTAGCTATTCACGGCTATTGTTCTCCCAGACATAATGGTTCAATATTCTACTGAGTAAAATGGGTGTTCCTTTATCTTGCACATTGATCTCTGTATTATTTATATGTCACACAAGTACATACTAATCACTTCATTTAATCAGACCGCCTCCGTGTCGTAGTGATTAGAGAGCGGATGGTCGCGGGTTCGATCCCCGACCGCGTCATACCAAAAGACGTTAAAATATGGTACTTGTTGGTCCCTGTGTGGTGCTCGGCATTAAAGGGTATAACAAGGACTGGTTGCCTCGGAGTCAGTATAATGTGTCTGAGTGGGGTAGTCATGCTTCACTGCTGCATGGTATCTCAGTGTGCTAGCACTATAAAACCAGCTTAAGTCTGGGCTAGTACAAGCAGCCACACATACACATACACATGCATGCACGTCGTCATATGAGCGATATATTCTTAGGTACGACATTAATTTATACCCAATTTCACCTTAATTTAATCATGGGTACAATTTAAAATTTCTTAATAGCAAGCATCCGTGTCATCACTGTTAGTGATTCATTCCTGAAAGGTTGTTTGCGAATATGGACAAAGATGTATCGGGTATGATGTTATTGAGAAGCGTGTACAATGTGAATGACCCCCCCTGTAAAACATTCATTTACAAAGTAAGTGACCCCCTGGATGTCATGTACAAAATCACCCCCTCCTTTTTACATGTGTACACAATTTATGCCCCTCCCCCCGCCTCACCAGAACAAAATGGGTGAGCCCCCCTTAAAATTAACACACCTAAATCCCTCCCCCAAAATAAATTATGAACGGTCCCTTATATTTATAAACATGTGACGTTCATGACGAGGATATTGACCTACACGAACAACAGAGCTATGTAATAATCTGTTGATGCGCACTAACGCCGATACAGAAATATTTTATGATGTGAGAGGCGGTAGGCCCAGACAAGCGAGACTTTTTTTTGAGATTCTATTCATTAATTTTCAGCTTCATGAATAACAAGAAAAGCGACACAAACATTACCCTAGATGTTGAAAACTCGTTTGCCAGTTTCACGAAATATACCGACTTGCACATATGCATGATAATGTAGGAAAGGCTGAGAAATAGAGCAAATATCAGTTCACACAAGGCTGCTATAGGTATGTTTAAGAAACCCACATCCGCCCCTGATTCAAATCTTCAGTACCCAGGCCTCAGCGGTAATGCTGAGAAAATCTGAATGTTTACCACGGATAGTTTGTACTTTTACATTGTCACAGCATATATGACAAAATGACACATATAAATCATGATAGCAAGATGAAGGAAAATGACTAATTGATATTACGTGATTTGCAAACGCTTGTTTAGTTCATTAGTAATTTAAATGTGATTGTTGTAAGCAAATTTAGCCTATTATCGCATAGTGAGTGAGTGAGTTTAGATTTACGCCGCACTCAGCAATATTCCAGCTATATGGCGGCGGTCTGTAAATAATATTATTATCGCATAGAGACGCATAGAAATAAATAAGACATTATTATCGCATAGAGACGCATAGAAATAAATAACACGCATGTACATATACAACACAGTAAAACGCTGACTGTAAGTGCCGTCCGTTTGGTTAGTTGATGTTGGGCATCGAGTTTTTCCGGGGCCATTATTTCATGCGTAAATAATATTTTGATAAACGACGGGGAAAACTAAGCTTGCTGTATACTTGCTGTGACATTGTGCATTCATTGCTGTATATTGTTACATGTAGGTATCTAAAACACCGATGGCTCTTTTGCTGATTACATTACGACAGCGTATTTGTGCAATTATTTAGAGACACTAAACTCACAATACTTTCTTAATGCCTTCATGAACACGTATTTGACGAAACACGTGCTTGCACGAAGACGGGGGCCTGAAGTGAAACAAGACTACCTACAGGTAGTGGAAATGAATAAAAGGTACGGTCGTAGCTTTTAAACTGCAAAACACGCATGAAAACGTCTCGGTGTTAACTACACTGACACTGTGGCCAATGCTACCCCACCAACGAAACAGTACCGTGATTATGTTTGTAAAACAAACTCCACACTCAGCCTCCAGTCCGTGGTCAGCGTTTCATATTACCCTAGCCAGTGGTCGCGTCATTAAGGTCAACCAAATCGGCATTGGCCATTTTCACGCAGCCGTCTTTAGACGCACGGGCTCATAATCATGTCATCCGCCGAAGGCCGGTTGGGACAAGTTAGGAATGGCCAGCGAGTCCTAACTTGACACATAGAAGGAAGCGAGCTACAAAGACATATTTTATATCATTGGAAAGATCTTGAGGAGATGAACCCAGTGCGCACACGTGTTCATAAGCTCACAAATTGGCTCTGAAAATGCATTTCTGCAGAAATGTCTGGCATAATTTATTTTTTCCGCAGATTTTTTTTATTTCACTACCAGAAATATCTTAAATGAAAAAGATTAGACACCTTTTTTGGATAATTTAATATGGACTTTCTTCAAATGATGTTGTTTTCTCCTGTAAACAACTTCAAGTGGGAGGGGAAATGGTTCCCAGAAGTAGATCGCCGCACATTACAAGGCATATTTTAACATCTTATCAAGACGAAATGAAAATAAAAATAATATGGTGATCTCATTCGGCTAAGTTGCAGTCATCTCTGACATGAGTCCCGTTGTCCCTTTGGTATGGTTTATGTATCTCTATTGTTTGTCTATCGAACTGTACAATGGAACACTGAATTGTATATGGCAGATGTGTAATCTTGAAACCAAAATGAAGCCATTTTTCAAACAGTCTTGAAATAATCGAATCAGGATTAGGTGCCTTCCCCTTAAGACGACATTTGGTATTACAGTGAAAATCCTTTGATGTTTCGCCGAGGTAGACTCATCTTGTTTTAATGGATTAGTGAGGTGGGTTATACTATAAACTGAACTGCATAACTATGAAGAGATATTTTCATAGTTGCAGCACATTAAATTTCGACCTATTTCGGGTTAACGTATCTGATATTATTGCCTGTGAATGTGGCGCGCCATGCAAAAATTCATTTCACTTCTTTTTCGAGTGTACTTTATATGATGACTTTAGGAAGCCGTTATTCTCAGATATTGATAAATTTGGAGGCCAAAAAACACTGCACACTATCTTATTTGGTGACCCTAACCTAAACGATTTGATGAATAAACATATATTCCTGTCTGTACACAAGTATATAGAAACTACAAACAGATTCACCAGCTAATACAATATTATTGTTTCTATTTCTATTTTAAATGATATACTGTATAATATTTGCAAATGTATGACATGCACTTTTTCACTTTACAGCACACTGTACATATCCTGTAAAACACTGTATATATATATACCAACACTGCATATGTTCTCCCCAATGTCAAGCTTCCACTGTAAATTGTACATTGTATTATGTAATAATATGTTTAATTGTATTTAGGGAGAAGGCGATCATAAGTGGTGCACTTGTGCCTAATCCCGTTGTCTTTTGGAAAATAAAATATGTTTAAACCAATCTTACTATTAACACAATACAATACAAAAACAGGCTATAGATCGCCAGTCACTGAAGGTAGATCACCATACTAGGGACCATGAAGACTTACATTACTTTTGCTACCTGCATGGGCCCTAGCTGGATTTACATCCTCCCCTCGCTTGCGATTGTACTGAATTTTTAGCCATCACTTCAAACAACAAACATAGTACGGTTAAAAGCTTGGTAGAGCTAAATTTACTGTGACAGTTTTCGGACTTTCATACCCACATTCATAAAGAATGCACATGTACATTATATATACCTGTCGGCAAAGGACAGCAAAACAACGAGAATATCACACTTAGAACT